CACGGGAGGGAAACAAACATTTAGACAATAGCAACTGGGGAATGGCTGAGGGCAAAGTGTGTCTGGTGGGTGGCATCTGTATCTGTGCCCTCTGCCTGTATCCTCAGTCTGTCTCTGCCAGCGATCATCTCTGCGAAATGACACAAGGATCTGGGTTGGGTCATCTTTTCTGTGCCAAAGGCAAGACAAGTCCTTTAAATTTACTGCAAACGCTCATTGGGGATGGACTAGAGAGTTTGTTAGCTGCAAACGCCAGTAAGTGTTGATAAATAAAGCCATTAAAAATGTGTTATGGCTCTGACACTTGGCGTAACATCTTTCCTCCTACTTTTCCCCATGTAACATTTACTTTAAATGGCCCCAGCCAAAAGCCAAGCACCAATAAAACGGGCCCAGGTCTCCCAGAACATCTTCACTTGTGAAACACTCGCAGGTTCTGCGCTGGGGGCAGGGGTGGGGGAAGCCACCGGGAGGCCCCGCTGTTGTGTAAACTGCAGATGTTGTAGTTCCTGTGGTGGAGGCCTAACTGTACATCACATTTGCAATTTTGACGCTTCAGTTGCTTAAAAATATTGTAACTGCTCCTCAAACAGGAAAATTGCATTTAGATTTCCCTGTGTGTTTAACCTCAGACCAGCAAGAGATGGTCTTCATATTTCCACAGCAAATGAAATCACTTTTGGATTGAGATTGCTTAGGGATGGCTCTTATCCTAAGAGAAAGAGAAGCTAGGAACAAACACAGCCGTGCCTTCTGTGCAGGCCTGTGATGTAGATAATCAATGATCGCTTTTGTCCCATACTCCTTGGCATAAAGGATCTAGGATCAAGACAAGGAAAGGCAGTCTTGAATATGAGGTTCAGTCACATCCGAACTGTTGCTGAGGGAATTGCAGCCCTCTGCACTCAATTTTTGTAGGCCTGGCTTCCTGCAAAATTGGCATTCCTTTGGCGCTTTCCATATCAAAAACCCCTTCTTCCTGTCGAGGCTCAAAGGCTTTCAAACCATATCTTTCCCCTCAATCAAGCTTATAACTCATTCACACTAAAGGATGATTGCTTACATCTTAAAGGGAACCAATAGGAATTGGGAAACAGTTTACTCAGAGAAAAGCGTTGGAGAGCGCCTATGCAATAATGGTCTGTTAGGCGACTGTTAAATGGGCGTCCTTTTCTGTCTACTCAAAAGTTTGGTGATTGCTTTGTTTCGTTTTTAAGACAGGGTCTCACGAACCCATGCTGACCTCAAGCACCACAAGTAGCCAGGGATGACCTTGAGCTTCTGACCCTTCTACTCCCACCTTCCTAGTCCATAGATTACAGGTTTACACCACCCCTTCCAGTTTCTGTGCCTCTCTGGATCAAACCCAGGGCCTCCTGCATGCTCAGCAAACACTCCACCGACAGAGCTATAGCATTACCCAGCCCAAACTATGGTAAGTTTGCCTTTTCCTCCTTCCCTTTCTTATATCTCGTCAGCAAACTTCACTGAGGAGTCTGCTTAGAACAAGACCTTTCTATAATAGAGAGGATGGAGCACAAGAAGCAACCGTCACAAGTGTAGTGTACGGGTGCCTGCTGCATGCCAGGGGCAGACCGCCATGGACAGCTTTTTCTGCCCAGCACCCCAGCCAGGTAGGTAGCACAGTTCCAAAGACAGAGGCAGCAATTTTTTCTCTTGCAGGTCACACATAGGAAGGCACAGGCAGTTTGATTTCAGGGCCTTTCTGTTCCAAGTGAGATTAGATTAAAAAAAGCATACAGGGCAGGCTTTGAGGAGACAGTCTTTAATGTGCTCTGAACTACCAGAGAAGCTGTGATGAGGGCCAGGAAAGAGGGCCAGCCTCTTGCTGGGCAAGAAGAGCCTCGGGTTAGGGCAGCTGCAGTGGGTCACCCCACTCTTGCCCCCTTCCTCCTCAACGCCCCCCTCCCCTTACCAGCAGACACCAGAAGCCAGCAGGCTGGCTGCGCCCCAGGCAGGCTCTGGTCAGGAAGAGGGAATCTTTTGTGAGCTGCAGGCCTGGTCTCTGTTAATGCCAATTAGCGTTTCTGCCTGCTTGGAGCTGCAGGGCCAGCAGGCTTCTGTGATCCTGGTGGCTAGGAGTTCTGGCCTAGAAACGCTCCCCCGCTCCCCAATATGGGACGAAAGTCAGAGAGTCTGAGGGGAGGGACTTGGTCATTGAAAGAACAGGAAATGGGGTTTCACAGGAGCTCCACAGGGCCCTGCAGCCTCAAGAGCACAGCTCCCTGGGGCCAGGAAAAGAGAGAGAGGAGAGAAAACAGCAGGCCTGCCTCCAGCTGCCCTAGTTGGCCTCTCTGTGAACCAGGGTCTGGCTCCTGAGAGAGAATCTAGAAAGAGGGTTCCCATGCTCCCGAAGTTGTAGGAGACCCTGGGGCAAAGCTCTCCTAGGACTTCAGCTAGCTAAGCTTGTGGGTGCAAGGAGTGTCCATTTTGGAGTCCCCAGTCCTCAGGATCTGTGGTCGTCTGCTTGGGTCGGTGTGAATTAAGTGGCAACATACAACAGCTTAAGAGCTTAGGAAGTCTGAGCCAAGCTACCGTCTCACACTGGCCTGCCGGGAGGGCATGGCTGAGGGACCCTGGGTTTCTGAGTCTCCGGCTTTGGTTCCATGTCCGCTCTCCTGCACCTTCTACGCCCTTCCTGTTGCCCTGCCACCTGCCCCTCTTTCCCACTTGTGGTTTCTTTTAGCCCTTTGCTCTCCACGGAGGTCGCCTGGCTGGCTGGCAAGCCCTCCAGCAGGGTCGTTCTCTCCTTTCTTCCATTCCCAGCCCTCCCTGAGCTGGATCATATTGCCCTCTGACCTCTGTGGGAGGGTGGTCCCTTGTTTCACTTGGCAAAGCAAGCAGAAACAGAGAGTCTCTCAGGATCTGGTCGCTGTCTATCCCTCTTCTCTCTGCTGGCTTCAGTTTTAGGTGGTTGAGCTGTTTCTCAGTGAGTCACCAAAGTGTCCTAAGGGAATAATTTCCCGAAACCTTGTCATGGAAGCTTCAAGGGAAACACCTGACCTTGCCAGCCCCAGGCTTGTCCTGTCCTTCTCCCTACAGGTGGTCCTCCTCTCTGTCCTCTCCTTTCCAGGGATGTGTATGTGTGTCTGTGTGTGTGTGTGTGTACGCGCGCGCACGCATACATGTGCGTGTGTGTCTGTGAGTGTGTGTCTGTGTGTACATGTGTCTGTTTGCCTGTGTGTCTGTGTGTACATGTGTCTGTTTGCCTGTGTGTGCGTGGAGGGCAAGGGACAACCCTGGGGTCATCTTAAAGAATGCCATTCACCCACTGAGACAGAGTCTGTCATTATCCTGGACCTCACTGAGAAGGTTGGGTGGGCAGCTAATGGAGTCCAGAGATTAGTCTGTTTCTACCTCCCCAGTGGTGCTGCAATTCCAAACGTGTGCCGCCGCATTTGTTCATGGACGCCAGGGATCAAACGTGGGCCTTGACACTTGAGAGGCTATTGCTTCGTGAACAGAGCCAACTCCAACCCCTTTCCCTCTCTTTCATGAGACAGGCTCTCACCGTGTAGTCCAGCCTGCTTTAGAACTGTCAATACTCTTGCCTCTGCCTCCAAAGTTCTGGGATTCGTGTTGCACCCCATCACATTCAGTTCTAGAAAAATCTTTGCACGAAGCACATGTAGGGACAGGGACGAGAAGGTGGTGTCTGCAGCTGGAATTGTCGGGCTTGGTCCGTTTCTGGCCCAAACTCTTTTCTCTTTCTTATGCACTTCACTCTCTTCTCAGGGATTTCTCAAAACTCCCAAGGCTTCCAGTCTGAGGAAATGGACAGTTTCAAGGTTAGAGAGGACACGAAGGGTGATAGAGGGCTCACGCTGGCTTCCTGTGTCCCAGTCACAGCCTCCCCTGACACTTCAGGACAATACCTCAGCCTAGAGGACAAATGGCTACTTCTTTTTCTTTTCTTTTTTCTTGGGACAGAGTCTCACTAAGTGACTCTAGATGTCCTGGAACTCACTCTGTAGACCAGGCTGGCCTCAAGACCACAAAAATCTGCCTGCCTCTTCCTCCTGCACGCTGGGATTAAAAGCTTAAAGGCATGCACCACCACACCCAGCTCAAATGACTAATTCTAACAAAACCAAACAAAAAAGCTTGCTCCCTCCCCAAGACCTGAGGTGGGTAAGCAAATGGTGCTTGTCGCGTCGGCCACCTGCTGGCCAACCAATGAAGTCCAGTGTCCATAAGACTGGTGACTGTTTTGCTTTGTTTTGGAGACAAGGTCTCACATAGCCCAGACTGACCTCAAACTCAGTACATAACCAGCGATAAACTTGAACTTCTAATCCTCTTGCTTCCACAACAGGCTTGCACCACCACTTCCGGTTTATGTGTCGCTCTGGATCACAGCCAGGGCCTTCTGCATGCTAGCCAAACACTCTATCCATAGAGCTACAGCGCTATCCAGCCCATGAGACGAGTCAGTCTTAACTATGGTAGGTTTGCCCATTTCCCCTTCCAGTCCTTACGTTCTGTCAGCAAACACCATTGAGGAGCAAAATTCACACAGGGAGATTTGGGGTCACTGCTGTGCTTTGTGGCAAGAGCCGAGAAAGGGTTTTAGGCTGTCGCACACTGAGTGGCTCGTGTGCAGAAGAGGTTTTTCTGCTTGGGTCGAGAGTGGGTATCCTGAGCTCTGGCTGTACTTCAGCTAGACATGTGAATGCAGTTGGAGCCGGAGAATTTAGACAGTCATGTGCAGCTTCTATTTGCTGAATAGAATCACTGAAGTCTGGGAGCCTTGTGGACAGTACTAAAGTTACTGCAGCTGAGGAAGTGGACGCTCAGAGGGGTTAAGTACTTAGTCAAGAAAACACAGCAAGAAAAGGACTAATGTTTGAGTGGGAATCTATCTGGCTTCAGAGCTCCCAAGATTTTTTTTTCCAAGTGACCAAGCGGTCTCGTCAGTACTTTAATATTGTGTATGCCAGACTGTAGCGGAGGCAGCTACAGGTGCACTTCTGTGTTCCTGCGCGGCACCCGCATCACAGCAAGACCAGCATGTGTTCCACCATCAGGTGTGGCTCGCCCATCAGCTCACTCTGTGATGGATCATTAAGAATATCCTCAAAACCAATGGTCTCATCATTGCCCCACAGAATATCCAGCGACAGGTTTGAGCTTGGAAGGAATGGAAGACGCTGAACCTGCTGCACCGCCTTGAATTCCATCTGTAACTTCAGGGGAGCAAACAGTCCCTGGATGTTCCTCAGGGTGGAAAAGTTCATCTTGTCTTGGTTGAGCTGGAATTTTTTTTCTGATAATTCAAGAGGATGGCTGGGCAGAAGTTCATTTTTCACACAAGAAAACCCTTTCCGGAGAAGATCGTGACTCTCAAAGGGCCTGCTGGCTGAGAGCTCCGTAACTGGAATGCTGTCCTTCAGCTGCGACCCTAGTCCTCTGGCATTCATCTTGGAAATCGCTCGGCACAAACCTCTAAACCCGCTACAGTCAGCCGGCCAAGCTGCTCACTCTCCCAAGATTGTACAATACTTCACGGGCATGATTCTTAGGACCCCTCCCCACCCCAAATGTCCCCATTGCTTCGGCTGAACAGCGCTACTGCTGGGGTTCTGAGAGCAGGGAGCTAGAGGCCTTGGAGACCGTCTTAAGAGACGTTATGACATCAGAGCACAGAGGGTGGGAAGGATCTATGGAGTTTTCTTCCCATCCATTAGCCATTTCTTTGTCATTGGAAGCTGGCAGGGGAGGCTTTGCCAGCAGAGGTATCACAAAGACTTTTTGCCAGCCTATCACCTATCACTCCTTGGGAAAGGTCAAAGAACAGCAATCTAAAGGTCCAGGGGCCAGCCAGCTCATGGAACCAATCATAGGGCTTAACCCTACCCTTCTAGAAGGTACTGGAGCTCTGCATTAGTCCCCACAGCCTGAGGCTGGCAGGAAGGTGGATGTTATTCTCTGACTCCTTGGGGCATCCCCTGACTGCCCCAGCCAGTGAGAGCTCCAGTCTCCCGCCTCGTGGCTTACACCATAGAACTGGACTCTGAAGAGCTATTGTCATGTATTAGTCTCGTTTTCCAGTTAGCTCATTAGCCTCTCGAAGGCAGGAGATCACAGGTGACCCCTCCTTGCCTCCCCCACAGCACTTGGTGAAGGGCTGTGCTTTCTTGGAAGTCAGCCAACACTGATTGGTTACTTGGAACCCTCTAGACTGCATTTAAGAACTGGCATGCGCATGCGTATAAGTTTACTTGTGTCCATGAATATATATGTCTGACATGTACATAGGGTGCAGGTGTCCCTGTGCATCAGAATGGCACACATACATGTACCATGTTCCTATGCACCGGATATTAAGGAGAAATTGAGTATGATGCAGGCATAGGAAAGAGAACAAATGTGGCAGCTTGCACCTGTAATCCCATCCCTACGACACTAGAGTGAGAAGGCTCATGAACCTAAGGCTAGCCTACGCCACATATCAAAACCCTATCTAGAAATTAATGGCCTCTAGCAAGTTAGAGCAGATGAAGTACCGTTATTCACGAGTACACCACAGAGTCACAGCTCAGGCAGTCTAGGGAGACAGATCAGGAAAGGGCTAGTGAAGAAAGGAAAAACTGGCCAGGACTTGGAGTCTGTTGGGGATTGAACCGCTTCCCCCACCCCAAGGATGTGTTCATCTGACTCCTAACACCTGTGAACACGACCTTGTTTAGAAGCTGAGCCTTTGCAAACACCATCAACCTAAGATGAAATCACTGCTGCATGAGGGGACAGCCTACTGCTCCAACAACCAGTGTGCTTCTCGAAGGACATCTGGTCACAGATACAGAGTGACAACAGTGTCACATGACCAGAGAAGTATGACTTGGGATATAGTCAATCAGCTGAGGACACCATGCATTGCAGTCTTCAGGAACTCCTGAAGGTTGTGGACCTCAGTGACTGTTCCCTGCCTCCCCCTCCCCCGCACACTTAGACAAGAGCTAGAACTTTCCTGAGACTCAGAGGTGTAAGACACAGGGTTTTCTCCAAAGCCCTCAGAAGGGAACTCACCATACTGACGCGACTTCAGAGTTCTGGCCTCTAGAACTGTCAGTGAATAAATTCCTTTGCCTTTAAATCATGGTAATTTGTTATGGCAGCCCTGGGAAATGAACCCAGAGGCCTACCAGGAATGCACTGGGTGAGGGAAAAGGGGGAAGAATGATTCTGTCACAAAAAAACCCAGCTGCAGTGGGGCATGGAGGAGTGGGGGCATGCTGCAGAGAGTAGCGGAAAGCTCAGCTGATCGGGAAAGTTCCCTGGGAGGTGGGGAAGGAGAGTTACATGTTAGAACCTGCATGTTTGTGTGTATGTTTTACAGGGCTGTGTAATTATCGGAATGTGTGCCCATGCATGTACTTCCTGAAATTCCACTCTGCTTTTATGATATCTGGTTTAGTATGCTCCTGCATGGCTGATGTATGCCTTGACCTATGTGTGTGACTTGTATGCCAGGGCATTAATGTGGATAGTCTACAAGTCTGTGTATTGAATTCAAAGCAGTTAGAGGAAGGCTGGAGCAGGAGCAGCCCTGTTTCTCTGTTTACACTCTTGGGGAACACTGTAAATACGCCTGGCCAGAGTATGAGATGACAGGTAGAAGGCGGGGGTTGGGGCTGGGGCTGGGGAGTACTTGTCCTGGTTCAAGAAGACAAGACAGGGCAGGGGGCTTGGAAGGGACACAAGTGGTCTGTTCTTAGGCTGGAAATATGACCCAACAGTTAAATGCATGCAAAAGATCTCTTGCAAAGGGCCAGGGTTTCTATATGTGCTTGCAACAGCCTTAGATTCCAGTTCTAGAGGATCAAATGTCTTTTTCTTGCCTCTTAGGGCTCTTGCTGCACATATATTCATGCAGGATCATACACACATTTAAACAAATTTAAAACAAAACAAAAAGAAACTTCTTTTTTTTTCTAAGTGCTTAGTTCCTGAGATTGACAGCTATAGGTGGCCTTAAGTATGACTGTAGTCCCTTTTGTACCATGGCCTAGCCACACTGGCACAGCTCCTGAAGAGCCCTCAGTTAAAATAGGGTGGGAGAGATGGCTCAGTGGTTAAAAGCACAATAATGCTCTTGCAGAGGATCTGAGTTTCATTCCTAGCACCCAAATCAGGCAGCTCACAGTTGCCTGTAACTCCAACAACAGGGAGATATGAAACCCTTTTCTGGGCTTTTTGGGGACCTGTGCATGAGTGAGCATGCACACACATTACAAATAATCAAAAAATAATCTTTAAGAATGACCAAGTTTATAAAAGCATATGCTGTGATTTGGTCAAATCCCTACCTGCCTCGGAGTCTCTTAGAAGAGTCCCACTCCTTGGAGAAAGGTTACAGCTGAGGGCAGGAACCAGGGGAAGAACCACCCCCATCCCAGCCCCTACAGAAGGTTGCATATGTATATGTTGTCCCCCCCCCCTCCTCGGGGACATCTCAAGCAGAGATTTTTATGAAATCTAAGAACCACTTCTGTGTTCCAGGCTGACATTGAGAGCTTGAGTGTGTGCATGGTGTGTGCAGGTGTGTGCAAGCATGCAGAACTTCCAACCTGCTTCCTCTTCGAGAATATGGTTAGCTCAGGATGTCAAGTGCAGCCCCAGGCCCTGCCAGCTGCTGCCATGGTCAGATTGCAGGGGGCTGTCCTTGATGGGGCCAATAGAACAGACAGAGCCTGTGGTAAGGACGGGAAGAGAGGCGGAGGCTGCTGCTTTGAGGCTTGGAGCTCTCTAGGATCAGTCTTTGACGACCCTTAGACTGAGATGGTTCCAGGCAGGAGCAAGCCTTGAATGCGGAGTTGGGGTGGACAGGTAGGATGGTGAGAGGAGCGTGCACACAGGCTGTGAGGGAAGAGGTAGGACATTTCAGGACCTTGGCCAGTGTCCTTGGGTTCCTAGGGTGCCAAAGGTTGTCTGCCAGTTTCCAGATACCTGGTCTGTGGCAGGCCTCTGGGTCCAGAGGAGATGCTGAGGGCAGGGAAAGATACTCCTAAAATTTGAGACTTACCCGGGTACTTCGTTAGGGTTCTAGAAGCTCTTTAGAAGCTGGATGTGGAAAAGGGTCCCTCATAGGTCCCCCAAGAATGAGGAAACAGGGTCTTCTGGGGCTCGCATCTGGGAAGGGAGAAGAGCATGCTGAGGCTGTGTTTCTTTGTCCCCCTCTGTCAAGCACAGGGCCAAGCATTTAGCACTTCCCACCCCGGATAACCAAACTCTATTGTTCCTTTGGGGAGCAGTCAGGAGCAGAGGCATTTCTGTAGCTATTCAAGAGGCCTCTCCCATGTCCTTTCTTGATGCCGCCTGCCGCTTTCCTGTGCCTGGCTGCCACCGCCCGCACCTTGCCCTTTGCAGCCCCCATTGCAACTGGCAAGACTTCACTGCCACCACTGCGGGGATGCTCCTCTGCCCCCCGACCCCGTGGCTCTCTTCCTTCCAAAGAACTTTTTAAGAGCAATTAATCAACCTTATCACATCCTTTCTATGGAGTCCCACACAAGGAGGGATGTAGAAAAAGCATCCTGCTCCTAGAAGCCAGTCATGTGGATATGCGGACACCCAGGCAGCTGGTTGACAGATTCTTCCCTGGGCACGGCCACCTCTTCCAACTTTGGAATTGGCTGCAGTATGAGCCTGACCCAGGAGGGAAAAGTGGGGAACACATGCTGGCTCTTAGCCTTGCCCACATTTCCTGACTCCCTCCCCCAACCTCTCCCTTCAGTTATTTCAAGCTCCTTTGTTCTCCCAATCCTTCCCTAGGCAACTTCTTGGGTCAAGGGTCATGTGCAAAGCATTTGGAGATGAATACCCATGAGTGTGGAGAAGTATGACCTCCGTGAATGACAGCCTTTCCCTTGCACACGGGACCCACCCTTTTGCAGCAGCCAATGACATGGATAAAGAGTGTGTCCGAATGCAAATGTGTCCAGTCAATCCAGCAGCACACGGTCCTTCGAGCAATCTAATCTAGGCTCTGAGTTTTGATTTCCAGAGAGTAGCACATCAAATAATGGGGCCCTGGGCGAGAGGAATCCTAGGGCCACCTTAGCTGGTCCTGATGCCAGTAGATGGAGCCCCACCACCACTCTGTTCTAGGATCCCAGCTGGGTCCGGGGATGTCCCGAGTGAGTGATGTGGGAGCTAGGGAGAAGTAGGGCCTAGGCTGGAACCTAGTGAAAGAAGACCAGGTCAAAATGAGACACTGACTATACACCAGCAGATGACAGGCCCTGCCTTAGTTACCCTATAAAAACAAACTCATATTATCCACACACTCTTTCCTTAAAATAAGCATTTATTTTTTATTTAATATGTGTGGTGTTGTTCGTGGAAGCCAGAAGAGAGAGTTGGAGTTCCAGTCAGTTGTGAGCCACCTGCTGAGGGTGCTGGGAACTGAACTCAGGTT